GGGAGCATCCAGCGGTGGGCAGCCCGCGCGGGCAGCGTGGGGGTACGCTCAGGATGCACCAAGCTCGCGGGGTCGCATCGCATTCAAATGCTCTTGGGGAGGGTGGGGGGACACACACACCGTGCTGTCCCCGGCCATAAATCACCCTTCTCCCCCTGTGTTGCTCACGCACACGCTTTTCTGCGGTCCCACGCTACCCGATTGATCGGCGGCTTGTAAAACTGTCTCTTTGGTGCCCCAGGTCCTTGGCACGGGCTGGTGCTTCAGGATGGACCCCCCCTTCCCTGCCGCTTCCTCCCCAGTAACTGGTTCAACAACGGCACGGGGGACGGTTTCCTGCCGCTGAGCATCAAGATCACCATCGTGGTTGTCTACTCCATCGTGTGCATTGTGGGGCTGGTGGGCAACTGCTCCGTCATGTATGTGATCGTCAGGTAGGACGCGCAGGCAGCACGCCGGGGAGGCTCGGGGAGGGCGGCGAGCGGGGCAGACCTGCTCCCACAGAATCCCTGCTGCCGGTGAAGCAGGCAGGCACTTCCCTGGTCGTTGCGGTGTGCTTTAGAGGTGACGATGTGGCATTCGTTTTATTGTTTTGGTTTTATTTGTTTTTCTCCCTTCCTAGGCTGTGATGAAGGTTCCCACCAGCTTTCAGCTGCCCTCTGGTGCCTCCTAAAGTTTAACCCAGAGAATGGAACAGAGTGATCAGATCTGCTCAAAAAATGGGAATTTTTTTTATTATTTTTTTTGCAAACAGCCAGGCAGGGAGCTGGATGTCCCCGGGGAGGGCGATGAGCTGGGAGCATCCCGCTGCCAGCGTGTGCTGGGTCTGTAACGGGACCTCTCCCTCCTGCGCCGTGTCCGGCACCGCAGCTGCGGCTGCAGGTGCTGCTCCATCTGCTCCAGCTGGGAGCTGGCGCTTTCCAAAGCTGAGCGTAGCTGCAGGGAGAAGAGCCTGCCAGGAGGCTCAGTCTTACCTTTACCGGGGAAAAGTCACGACTGTAGCTCTGCCAACTCTGGAAACTACAGACGTAAATAAGATGTGACAGGATGCCGCGGAGATGAGGGCAACTGCTCTGGCTCCTCACACTGAAGTCGAGAGAGCAGGGGGACCCTTGCAGAGGGGCACAGCGTGGAGCCTGCCCCGCTCCAGCAGCACTGCCCAGCCTCCCTGGCATTTTAAGCATCCCTGTCTGGTTCTGCTGTGGTCCAAACCACCCCATTCCCTGCAGCCAGAAACCTTGTTCCCCCCTGTAAGTACAAAATAAGTTAACGCAACCGTTAGGGCGGTGATTCTGAGTCAAATGTCAGCAATCCCCTTCTGATCCCTGTACGCTATATGTTAGGAGTGATCTTCCATTTTATACACGTCTTGGAGCAGAATCCTGGTGCAGGTGGATGCTGCCAGCACAGAAAAGACAGAAGCAATTTGTTTTCTCCTCCAACAGAGGACGAAAATATTTAGCAGGTATTCAGGCACTGATGGGAGGAAGTCTCGCTCCTGCCAGGAGCCCTGCTGCTTCCAAAGCATCTTTCCCTTGGACACACACAACTCGGCTGGGGGAGATGCTGCAAAATGATGTCTTCGGTGTCGCAGGCCAGTGAACGGCGGCGAAATCTCTGCTAGGAGGGCAGAGTGACACGGCTGTTCGCCAGGCTGCCTGTCCGTGCTCCTCCTGCCGAGGAGTTTATGGCAGGGGGGGGGGGGCCCCATCGCCCCGGGGGGGCTGGGGGAGGAGGTTTGCAGTGCAGCAGAGTCGTGCTTGGAGAGCTCGCCTTTCTGTTCAGTGTAGTAGCAACCATTTGAGTAGGCACGGTGTTTGTGGGTGCGTGTCAGCGTGGGGAGTAGCGAGGCTCTGGGAGTGAGAAGTCCTTGTCCCACGCAGCGATGCAGCTCCCTGGCAATGCCAGCGGTGTGCGTGCAGGGGGAGGGAGCCTGTGCCCCGTGCGTGAACCTTAGGCGTGTGTAAGAAGGAGAAGCCTTGGCAGAAATCTTCTCCCTTCTCTGCAAAGGACCCTGCTGGCCCCTGCCCAGGGCTGTGACTGGTGTGTCATCCTGAACCTGAATGTCCCAAACCGGCATCCTGGTCAGGGTGGACATCTGCTGTGGCTGTGCACGGCCATGCTTTTAAAATGGTGGCCTCTGTTCCGCTCCTTTTTGGCTTGGATACCTTCCACTTGGAGAAATGGGACCCAAGAAAAGAAAGTGGAATTTGGCACTGATATTTGCCCTGGAACTTAACTTTCTGATGTGTCCTCTGGTTTGAAGCAACTGGAAACTGAGGACAGGTGTCACCCCCGCCTCCCCCAGCCCTTTTCCATTTCTTCCATTTCCCCTTTATCCAGAAACCCTGATACACACAAAAAAGCCAATAGAATTTTTAATTATTTGGAAACTTCTTTGGGTGATTCACCTATTTTAAAAAAAAAAATTCTCCGTGAGCCTGGAGTGGCCCCTTGAATAATGTGTGCCCGGGAGGTTATGACTGAGCTGGAGCATGTGTAGGAGATGAGCTGCTATTTCCCCCTGGTTCTCCCCATCAGCATCTCCCAGGAGCTCAGTACTGAGCTGAGACTATCACTGCATTCTACCCAGGGAAATTACCCTTGGTTTGGTGGGTAATTACAACTTCTGGTTACTTCTGCCCAGGATTTTTGTCTCCTTGCTCTCTCTGAGGTCAGGAGCAAGTGTGGTGGTAAACTGGACTCAATATCTCAAACTCTTGACCCTGGCCATGCATGCAGATTCAGGCAGAGCTGCCAAATCAGTGGCCGTTGAAGGACTGGAGCATTGGTGCTGCTGGGCTTCGTGCCTTAAGCAGCATCTTTTCTTCAGCAAATTGAAAGTTGGTTGCTGGGAAGGCAACACGGGGTTTTGGGACTCTTAGTGATTTCTCTCTTCTGTTAATGGAAAAAAGACTGGTAAACCCTCTGTGCTGCACCCCTGTCATCTGTCGGTATGGTGCACCCTACAAAAGCTGTTTTTCTTCTTTCCATGCTTATATTTCACCAGGCATAACTAGACTTCTACATTACACAACATGTAAGAAAACAGTGTACTATCTTCCAGAAAAAGAATGGCACGGTGACGTAGACAGTAATTGTTTCCTGTTTTTGTGGGAGTTGGGAAATATAAAGACTCGAGTATCAGCACTCGAGGAAATTGAAGGCATCAGGAAAGCTTGTTTTTTGTTCCTCTTCAATGAGCTTTTTGCAGCATCGAGGGAAGAGTTTAAAATCTCCCGCTATTTCACACAAATTCAAAGCCTCCTCTGGGTTTTCCCCTCTGTTGTAGAACCCACCCTACATCTCTATTATATTTGGAGTGATTTAACGTTTGGAATGGTTAATTTATAGAGATGGTCATCGTGTGACTGTCAATCCCCTTGTAATGCTGAGCAGCGCTAATTGGAGAAGACCGAGAAGGGCTCTCGTCAGGAACGTGATTTCCTGGACGGTGAAGGACCAATTGTGGAGACCTGCCGTGTCTGGGCTTTGTTCTGCTTGCTCATTGTGGAGTTCCTTGCCAGGGGAGATAAAGCCTCCCCTCCCTCCTTCTCCTTCTGCTGTTTGCTCTCTTCTGCATAGATTTCCTGCGCTGCGTTTTAATGAATGCGGAACAAGGAGCGGAGCAGCACGAGCCAGAGAGGCTTTGGGGGGAGAGTGGGGGAAACCAGGCTGCTGAGGTCCCTCGTATCTGTTACCTGAATGCACCAAGGCTGGATGCCTGAGAGCTTTGTCTTCAGGCAGAAAAGCAAAGGCGAAGGGGGATGTATTGTTCTTGCAATGGCCCTGGGGGTGGTTGACCCATGGGGCTGGAGGTGATGCTGACCCAGGCGTTGCTGCATGGGGTGTGACAGGGACCCTCAAGCCTCCACCAGCCACCGGCGTGCCAGGGAAGGGACCAGAGCCAGTGCAGCTTCTGGCCCAGGAGGTCTCCTGGACCCTCAAGCCTCCACCAGCCACCGGCATACCCGGGCAGGGAACAGCAGCTTCTGGCCCAGGAGGTCTCCTGGACCCTCAAGCCTCCACCAGCCACCGGCGTGCCAGGGAAGGGACCAGGGCCAGTGCAGCTTCTGGCCCAGGAGGTCTCCTGCTGTCCCCAGCTCCATCACACCGCTGCGATGCTCAGCAGGGGTGGTCTGGAGGACTCCCTCGGTGTTGGCTCTGCTCGCCTGGATCGGGCCCCGTGGGGTTGGTGCCTCGTTTCTAGGGTACTGCTCTTTGCCATGGCAGCTCTCTGCTGGGAGCCCAGCAAAGTACTGGGGATGCCCAGCTCTCACTATTGAAGAACACTGTTTCAGAGCATTTTAAGCAGCTGTTCAGGCAGATTATGGGCTGTCAGGCTGCTCCACTTCCATTTGCTGCTTCCAGGTGAAGCTTTGGGAGGAGGGATGTGCTGGGGAGATGCCTGCATCGGGTGGCTGCCTGGGGGTGGCTGTGCTGGCCGTTATTCTGCTTGAAAACTGCATTGATCCCTGAGAATAGGGGTGAGGGCAGCTGGCTGTGATGAGATGGAAAATTAAGTTAATTGTGGCATTGCAGAGATGCTGATTTCTTAACAGAAAGCTTTCTCAGGGAAGAGCCTCAACCAGCTGTGTGTCTCAGAGTGGGAACTGAGTGACTGCTTAATGCGGTGTGGACCCAGTAGACACCGGTGAGGCCACCTGAGACCTCAGGTCTCTCCAGATCTGCCTTTTTTAGTTTCTCCTGGCCAACAAAAAGAAGACAAATGTTACAATTGGTAAAGAAGGGGAACCCATGTGAAGGGCTGTGCTCTGCAGAGTGATTGGAGCCGGCGGAGGATGGCAAGGAGAGCAGGAGGGGGACCCACTGCAAAGGGCAGGTCTGTAGATCCCCAATTTCCAGGCTCCCATAAGCCCAGGTGAGCTGGGCTGAGCCACGTGGCTCGTGGCAGCCATGTGTGGCTCCTGCTAACACAGCTCCTGGAGGGCTGGAGGGCTCTTGGTTTTCCCTGGCTTCGGTGGGATGAATGGAAAGCAATTACCTGCGTGTGGCACTAATTTGGTGATGCTTGATGTGTTGACATGGCTCCCAGTGCTTTTCAGGGACTGGGCAATTCCCAGCAGCATTTAGGACATGAGCAGTTCAGCAGAGGCAGATCTGGCACACCAACAGGGATGAGAGCATCTTGCTGCAGGACGGGTGCTGGTGAATGCCCTCCGTAGACCGAAGCACCATTGCTGGTGGCCACGTGCCTGCTCGGGGTTTCGTGACCATCCCTGCAAGCCCCTGGGTGAGTTGCAGAGGCTTCTGCAGCAGCAGCCACCCAGCCTCTGTCCTCACCATGGCAGCGATCGGGGACATGCAGCGTCCCCGTCCGCGGTGGTCCCTTGAGGATGGAGGGCACCAGTATCCCACAGACACGGCAGTGAGACTCAAAGGGCAAGAAAATCATCTGCCCAGAGCATTGCTGCTCGCCCTGGCTGGTGGCAGACTCCTTAACCCCTGCTAATCAGTCACTGTCCTCCCAGGTAATTAATAGGCTTTTACGTGCCGGTGTTGCTGGCTGCTTTTGCTGTAGTGTCTGGCTTCATAGTCCAAAGTGATTTAAATTTGTCCTTCTTAAATTCGCCGTTTTTTTTTGTGGCCTGTTGGACCTTCAAGAGTAAACTGGCTTGAACTGGGTAATTTCAGGATGAGGGGGCTCGGAAAAGGTGATCAGAGCAGCAGGGACACGGAGAGCCTGGTGTGGGTGTACGGCTGGGATGACACGAATCACGACGGTACGTGCCAGATCAAATATCAGCTTCATCCAACCTGTGGGCTCAGAGCAGGCTGGGAGCAGAGATGTCAGTGAGCTGGCGTTGATTTCCACCATCAGAAGGTGGAAGCAGCTCCGCAAAAATCCTCCCTGAGTCTTTGCTGCTCTGTTTTGCTTCCTTGTGCATGTCCAGGGAGGGTGGCCAAGGCTGTCACTAATGCCAGGGCATGGGATGAGAACGGAGGGAGCTGCTCAAGGTGAACAGTGCTGTCTGCATCCCAATTAGCTGGAGCTATGAATATCAAAATCAAGCTAATGCCAGGGCATGGGATGAGAACAGAGGGAGCTGCTCAAGGTGAACAGCGCTGTCTGCATCCTGATTAGCTGGAGCTATGAATATCAAAATCAAGAGGCTCCAAGAGGCAGAGAGCTCCTGGAGATGATGTTCGTGGTTCTCCAGGGCTGAAGTCTTTGCCCCGGTCTCTCTGCCTCTGGTGTCTGCAGCCCCGTTTAGGGTTGTATGTTTGCTGCAGCTGGCTGGTCCTTAGCTCTGGGGCCTCCAGAGCTGCTTGCTGCCCTGCAGCCTTGTGATGGCTGGGTGGAGAGGAGGGAATGATGCTAAAACAACAGGCTTGCAGCTCACCGCGAGGCTCAGCCAGGGACAGAATCCATCCTTGTGAGAACAGGACCTCAAAGCCCAGTATGTGGAAGGGCTGTTTCCCACCCATCTCCTCCTCTCCCAAATTGTGGGTGGCCCTCGCTGGAGCACAGCTTTGTTGCAGGTAATGCTGCTTGAGGTCTCCTTAGCAAAAAGGAGGGGGAAGCTGAGTGCTGGGCTGGTGTCCAGATGTTTTTCCTCTTAGGCTTCAGCAGCCAGGAGAACAGGAGAGCAGAGCAAAGCGATTATTTTTGTGACAAAGGTGGACCTGGATGGAGAGCAGAGAACCACCCTGTGGGAGATGCTCCATTAGGAAATTGCCTTCGTGACCGAGTGCAAGAAAGTGGCTCGGTGGGAGTTAATGTCATCTGTGGAGGCCAGAGGCTTATCCGCATCAGAGCTGTGCCGTGGGGGGGACCTTAGGTGTCTCCTAAAGCCCGAGAGTTTCATTTGTCTTTTTGTGCAGATTAAGAAAGAGAACACTCTCAGTTCCCGGAGGAAAAGAAAAAGAGGTTAATCCACTGAGAAGTGATTAATTGATTTTTGCTTGTACTGAACATTCTGGAAATGTTTAGGAACATTGGTTGGTTGGGATAATGGCTGTTGGCTCTCAGCGTGCAGAGAAAGTGGACCAAGAAGTAATTAATTAGGTGTAAATTAATTTTCCCACCTTTCAAGAGCACAAAACCAGCCTTAAAATCCACTTGAAGGTGGGTTGAAGGAGGTAGAGGTGGGCCAGCTTTCCCAGCATGTCCCCGTGCTGGAGGGAGCGAGGGAAGGCGGCTCTGCTGTCACCATGGAGGGAGTGAGGGCAGGGGTGGCAGGGAGGGACCCATGCACCGGGGGAGAGAGGATTTTGCAGGGCTGGGCTGAGCAATTGTCCCTGGACGCTGAGTGCTTGCTGAGAAGTGTCTTGGAGGAGAGGAACCAGCGAGGTCCCCTGGGGTGGAGGGGGGAGCGAGACGGAGCTGGAGGTTTGCAGTCTGCACACCACGAGCTCTGGGCTAGCTGAGATGCCCCAAACTTCTCAACATGCTGGGGCCACAGGACTGTGCATGGAGGCAACCCCCATGGATGCTGGGTGGGTGGTAGAGGTGGGTGGATTGCTGCTTGTGTCTCCCACAGGCATAAAAAAAAAAACCCCAAACCCCACACTTTTATTTTTTTCTGTTTCACAGTGGTGAAGTTGCCCATCATGGTTTGAAAATGCAGTTGTTACTGCCTCGAGTTATAACATCAGTGAAAACACTCAGGGTTAGAGGCATGTTGATGGATTACCTCCAAGTCCAGTCCTCCTGGAAGGATGGACTGGAACAAGCTTGACCTTTGGGAAGCTTGGGTGAGCCCAGCCGGGTCTGTGCTACACAGAGGAAGACTACAGCTCCCAGGAGACCTTTGCTAATGCAGTCTTAGGTGACTGAATAATTTCCTGAAACCTATGCTGACAGTACTTATTTTTGTGTGGGCTGATAAAGAACAGTGATTGAATTTCTTAAATTTAATTACCCCCCCCCCCCCCCTAGAGGGGAAAGTGTCTGAATCCATTCACAGACTCATCTCATGCTCCCGGTGTGCGTTGCCTCATTTATGCCAACTGCAAGAATTCAAACAGAAAAGCAAAACTCACCCACCCTGAGATGCTGCTGCTCTGGGGTTCACAGCACTGCAGTCCTTCTGGTTCTGTGTAATTCTGCTTAGGAAGTCCCAAAGCTTTAAAGCCCTGGCAGCTGCCTGGTTGTGTTGGATTTGCAAAGTGTTTTGCTTGTTCATCCTTTCACGACTGGAAAGACGCTGGTATTTTTCCTCTGCTGCTTTTGGTTATATAAGTTTATCTGATCTGGGCTGGCTTTCTAAGAACCACGTCTTCCTCAGCTGCTGTGATTTCTGGGCCAGGAGGAGCCTGACTCAGGCTTATGTGGGGACTTCAAGTGCTTCCATCAACGTTCACCTGCTCCAAAATCTTCCCTTGACTTTCAAGGTCAAATGTAGGATAGTTTGTTCTTGCTTTCTGAAGCCACTTTCAAACATCTGACTTTTAGAGCTCTAAGAGGGGTTAAAAAAATAGTCTTTGTATTCTGGATTGTGGATCCATTTGCTGTTACTCTTGCAAACCTGGCTATGTCACCATGTGTCTCAACAGAGTTCAGAGTGTGGTACTGATAATGTTCCTCCAAGCACTCAAATAATTTACCAAGAGCTGAAGCTCAGGTCAGCCGGGGCGGGCAGGGTACGGTGCTGAGGAGTGCAGCTGTGGGTTTGCTGTTCTGAACCAATTTGACAAAAAGAGCTTTTTAGGTCAAATCAGACTCCATAATATTCCAACACACATGAAACTGCAAATAGTGCAGTAGTCCGTGGGTTTAAGCGTTACCCTCAAATGAACTTGCCCTCCACTAATAACACATGTCATTGTCTGCCATTTCTGGCAACATTTCTGCAAAGGCCATTAGTGTAGTAAATGATAGATGAGCTGTAGTTTTAAAATTATACCTATCTTAGCTCTTATTTTGCCCATGAGAGGAACATCCTGGAGATGAAATGTTAGATTCAGTCACAGAGCCAGTTACTGTTGGGCTTCCATTTCTGCAGGCTCTGCGTATGTCCTTGGGTAGGCGATCACATCTTTCTTTGCATCATTTCCAATGTGTAAAAAGGAGATGATTACCGTTAAAGAAAGGTGAGTCTTCTTTTGGGGCAGTCAGGTCTTGTGATAAAAGTAATACAGAAATGACAAACCTTTGAAGTGGAGTTGACTCATGATGTTACCTGGAAACTACTCCTTTCTTTAGAAAGATCCACTGTGATATTTTGATTTCTGAGACAAACCTCGTTTCTCACCAGTTTTTAGCTGCTGCTGTCCATCTTGCCCATTTTGATTTGATAGCTCACATTAGCCATAGTCTTAGGCTATGAGTCCATACAAAATGGCTAATCAACTTCCCCCCGGACCATATGATGCCTTTCAAATCAGCTTACTGGGTAAAGCTCTCACCAATATTTATAATAATGAAGCCGTATGTGATTAAATCCTAGATTAGCCTTACCGAAGTCATTTTTCAAAAAGCATGGCTGTGTGTTGACAGCCTCAGGCTTTCATGGTCCTCGCTTGCAGTCTAAGGGAATAAGCTTCTCCTGCCTGTGAAACTGATTGCGAAGGCACCATTTTTATTGTTGTAGGAGCTGAGTTGAGCTGCGTGTTGATAAGCACGTGGGAGATAGAAAGGAGAGGGTGGTGTTCAATCTCTTAATACATAAGAAAAATACAGCATCTCCTTCCGAAAGTGACAGGATGCTCTCTTCAGTAGCCTTCAATGTCTCACCCATCATGGTCAGGTGGAGCTCTAACCATTGCTCATTCCTACATTTCAGATTCACCAAGATGAAGACAGCAACCAACATTTACATCTTTAACCTCGCTCTGGCTGATACCTTGTGTCTGATGACCTTACCCTTCCAGGGTACGGACACGTTCCTGGGCTTCTGGCCCTTTGGCAATGTCCTCTGCAAGATTGCCATCTCTATAGACTACTACAACATGTTCACAAGCACCTTCACCCTGACGATGATGAGCGTGGACCGCTACATTGCGATCTGCCACCCTATCAAAGCACTAGACATCCGCACTCCCCACAAGGCCAAAGTGGTGAACGTCTGCATCTGGGCGCTGGCTTCTGTCTTTGGCATCCCAGCAATGGTGATGGGATCTGCAGAGAACGAAAACAACGGTCAGTAAAAATGCATCCAACGGGTGGGAGGTGTTGGTGGCCAGGGGCTGGGGGAGCCATTGGAGCAGGCTACCAGTTTCATCAGTATGGTGAGCTCACTGCTGTAAAGCCATCTTAACTCTTTCCTTTCTGCCCTTGCCTCTTTGCATCACTGCTGCTGCATTTCCAGCATTCAGCATGCCTGAACTAAACTGAATGTGAAAATCTTTTTCTTCTTGATACGAGTTTGCTGAACTTCCTTTCCTTTTTATTTTTTTTACTTGCAGAAATTGATTGTCTAATTAAACTCCCTTCACCCGTGGATTACTGGGATCCTGTGTTTGGCATCTGTGTATTTCTCTTCTCCTTTATGATCCCCGTATTGATCATCACCATTTGCTACAGTCTCATGATCAGACGACTCAAGAACGTCCGTGTCCTCTCAGGCTCCAAGGAGAAGGACCGAAACCTGAGGCGCATCACCCGAATGGTCCTGGTGGTGGTGGCAGTCTTCATCATTTGCTGGACTCCCATCCAGATTTTTGTGCTGGTCCAGTGCTTGGGTGCCAAGGCAGAAAGCGAGCTCGAGCTGGCCATCTCCTGCTTCTGCACCGCGCTGGGGTACGCCAACAGCAGCCTGAACCCCGTGCTCTATGCCTTCTTAGATGAGAACTTCAAGGCGTGCTTCAAGAAGTTCTGCTTCCCCACTGCCTTCAGGACCGAGCTCCAGATGTCCAACAGAATGTGCAGCATTGCCAAGGATGTGGCCTATGCCTGCAAGAACTCAGAGGGGACTAACAATCCGGCCTGACTAGGCATGGAAATTCCCATGGTGGCTGTTGCCCAGCAGAGTCCAACCACCCCCACGTCAGAGCTAACTCAGATAACGGCTCTTTAGCAGGACCTCAAAACTGAGAGGCGAGAAAGTGAGGAAACAATTTTGGGGGTTGGGAAAACCGGATACTGCAAGAGCACACAGAAAAAGTGAGCCCATTTGATGCATTTTTAATTCCAGTGCACCCCGCACTAAGGAACGTGTTTGGCATCAGCCCTTTGATTCCTGCAAAACTCTGGTGGTTTGCGATGTTCTTGAGGATTCAGGAATTAGGGGTTCAAAATAGGGATTGCTCTTGGGGCTTACAATTTTGCTGCTTGGGAAACAGAAAAAATCTGAACTATTCCATTTCTTTTTTCCTCCCTGAGTTGTTTAAGCTGCTAACAGCTCATGTGGCTCACCAGGCGCCCGGGCGCAGGTTTTCTTCCTGCGGTATCACTCTGAAATTAGACTTTGCTGAAGCCAAATTGGGCAGCAGCCGTCAGACAAAAATCCAAGATCATCTCCAGTATGAGTCATCCCGAAGGCAAGGATGCGGAGAGGGAAAGGAGGGAGCTGGTGGAAAGGGAAATCCAAACTGCCCCGCGGCTGGGAGCCTGGGGAGGACAACATTGGGGTCTGCAGTGAACCCCTCCGCCTCGAGAGGGGTGCGGGGTGGTGAGAAGGGACTGTCAGAACTGTAGCTCAGAAGACGAGGAAGGAAGGACAGATGGAATGAACACAAATCCTTGTTTACATGCTGCTACTGCTTTTTTTATTTACTCTGTGTTTCCATAACGGACAGAATGTGTCTGTCTATGCGCCTCTGTAGTGCTGTAGGTACAGCTACGTCGCAGGATTTCGTCTTGCCAAGCATGCCTTGGGAATGTTCCTCAGTGAGAGGAGGAAGGAACAAAGTGGCCTATATATACGTATATTTATGTATAATGGAAAGCCATTTTGGAGAAGTCAGAACGGCAGCTCCTCCAGAAGACATGGACATTGCTGGTAGGATGGGCGGCCTCCAACAGTCCCACCTGCTCCACACGAGATAAGCGGTGCGCAAACCATACAAAAGGTGGTTTGTTTATAATTTTTTTTTTTTAATGAAATGAGAATTAAAATGCTGACAGAGCTTGGGAAACGCTGCCGAGGTACCACTCCTCCTGCCAACTGTAGATGGATGTTCCTCTCCCAGCAGGCCAGAGCTTTGTGTGAAATGAAATGCCCTGTCATTTCGTTTGACGATGAAAGCCTTCCCGAAGAGTTTAACCACCGAGCGCCCTCCGTGCTGGCAGGGACAGCAGATCTGTGTTCTCCCTGTAACACAACAGCCCGGGGACATCTGGGCAGTGGTGGACGGTGGTGTTGATGGGGAAACAAAGCAGCGACCTCTGTTTGGAGACGGGAGGTCAGCTCCAACGCGAGAACCGGCGGTGTTGTCTGGACTGTACAGATTTCATGTGAATATATTTCTTGTGCTCTGGTCTATGAGATTCTGTATTTTTATTGTATTGATTTGCCAATATTTTAGTGCTGTCACGTTCTTTGTATATGCTGTATAAAATGATCCGATGTTATATTTCTATGTAGAGTGTTTCCCTTATGGTTGGGCTTAAAATATAGATGCAATTCCAGTGTCCCGTGTATAGGACCCAGATCCCTTGTAAACTGCTCAAACTGGGAGGATTTTTATGCTGATTAGCACTTGATTGGGAATCTGGAGGTATACCAGAGCAAACTTTGCAAGTAGCACTTCCCCTGAATAATGTAGGGGGAGGAGGAAATCTGGGCACTTTAAGCACTTTGAAATGGGTGTTTGTCCCCAAGCACTCACCAGGAAATCTCGTACAACCCCCAGGCATGCTCGGAAGCCCCTAGAACCGCGCTGCTGGCAAGCTGCACCCATGCCCTGGAAAAAATGAGTTGGGTGGCCGGTTGTGTTTGTGGATACAGCAACAGCTTTGTCCAGTGAGCAACCCTGAGCCTTCTCGGCCCGTTGGCTGCTGCGTGGTCTGACACGGTGCTGGGGACGGTGGTGCGTGAAGCTGGGAGCGACTGCTGGGCTTTTCTTGCAGTTCCATTAGGGAGCAGGGGAGCATTCAGTCGTGGCTGGCTAAGGAGCAGCCACCCTCCCTTTGTAGTTCTTGGGTGAGTTTTTAAATAGATTTACGTCCTCTGAAAAATACACCTCTGTTTGGCATTTTTTAAATAAGGATTTTGTTATAATGACTATGCTGCAACGATCTTACATACTCAAGCACTCAATAAATGTGTGTTTACGACGCTTTTGGGTAATTCTGTGGCCCTTGCAGTGAATGTGTTTAGGCATTCTGTTCAGTGCTCAGTGGAGTTTGCTATAAGAGGAGCAACAAAAACCTGAAAGCAAAAGCTTTATTGTACTGTGCCTACGGAGTTGAAGGCTTGCGATCGGCTGGCCGGCTGAAGCGCGGGCTCTTTAATTCTCTTCTGAAATCGTTGTGTTGGTATGATTTTTCCAATTACCGCAGTGTAAATGACAATTTCCTAAGTGGCTGCTTGTGTGCTTTAATAAAGGAAAATAAATCCCTCTGCACTTTGAATGGAGTCTGAAAGATGTAGCTGTGTGAATCAGGGGCTTGTTTCAGCCCCGCTGCTGCCCGATCTTTGCATATGGACTTCTTTTTCTAGCTGAAACCACTGCTGAGCACGTGCACTAACACCAAAGTGTCCGATCCCTTTTTACTGAGGGAACTTCTGTTACGCAGGCAACATTGTCTGCAGGCAACCTGGAAACAGAAGATGTGAAAACGCTAGAACATGGGCGGCTGGAGATGTGTGCGAGGTGCCCACACCCTGCCAGGCTCCGTGCCTGCGCTGGGTCTCACCACAGGCAGCTCTCACACGGGCAGGCAGCGATGCGGGCAGCTGCCT